GGTATAGATTGGACATCCGCAAAAACTACTTCACAGTTAGGGCGGCTAGGAGCTGGAACCAACTTCCAAGGGAAGTGGTGCTGGCCCCTACCCTGGGGGTCTTTAAGAAGAGGCTGGATGCCTACCTGGGTGGACTCATTTGAGTCCCGTTTCTTGTTTTGGGGTTTTGTTGTTCTCCTGCCCTGGCGGGGGGTCGGGCTAGAAGATCTACTAGGTCCCTTCCGACCCTAAATCTATGAAACTATGAAACATCAGTGGTCTCAGGAACAACATCAGCAGACATAGAGATGAGTTAGTTAATTTTTTCAGGACTGCATTGAAGAAGAAGGAAAGCTTTCTGTTCTTGATTATTCCATTTTCTCTCTTTAAAGCTAAGCAAAACTTTCCAGGCAAAAAGTATGTACCCAACATGAATATTTCTCCTAACAAAAACTATTCAAGAATTCATATTCAATTGTTTTAATTGAAATTCAATTCTGACTTTTAGACTGTTCAAAGTCTAAATATTTTGACTTTTCAGCTTCTACTGTCAGTTGGTTTTAACATATAGTGATATTTGGCTTCATAAAAAGTGACACACGTGTAGACCAGATTATCTTGGGGTTAAGCAACCAGAAAATGATCATATTTATTTATTTATTTATATATTTATTCATTTTGGAGACGAAAAATGCATTCGTGTAATGTAAATGACCTCTCTTACAGTCCCATAAATGCCATAAAGCAAATCTCAGGGAGGCCATATCATTGATATTTCAGATAGTTGAAACAAAAAAATGAAAATAAAAAAACAGAAACACACATTTCTCCAATATTTTTAAATAGCATATGACAGAAAAGAGAAACAGGCTCCTTCCCTAAAGGCCTTCTCTCAAACCAAGGGGAAACACCACCAAAATCTGGCCCTCAAATTTAATTTAAGGAGCCCAGTGGTGGGAGGCTTTTTCTTTTGAATACGCCACGAATCGAGTATGGCGGTGAACTCTCAGCAGCCAGAGAATCACAAGATTACACTACTGATGACCTCTTCTATTTTCTGCCAGTGTTTCTTGCATTTTTAGATTATGATTTACTGAAACAATTTACCAGAATTACATTTATGCAGCTAAGCCATAGTGTATGCACACAAGGAAACAAAAGGAAATGTATGGAGGGCCTCACCCATCTTTCTTCCAGCAAATAATTCTCCCGGTCATGGCCAGAAGAAGGACAAACAGCAACACTGTCCCTAAGACTCCTGAACAAAAAAAAAATACATAGTATTAGTCAGCCAAATAGGTTGAAAACATATGGAAATGTGGGTATTGGCCCCTGCAGTGTGTGAATTGCCCTGATATCCCTAAGTGAAGAATGAAAGTGAACAGAGGGGATACAACATTCCTCCACGGGCAGAACAGCGTGCAGCAGTTATATTGTTAACGTTCCAGGTTATTCCCCTACCAGGCTTGGATCTTTAGCCAAAAGCCAGCCTCCTGGTTCCTGAATCCAAAAGGCTTCATTAATAGTGAAGTAATTTTCTGATGATCCTGCATGGAACATGTGCTCATACTGGCACAAAGAACTGGAGCTTTCCATTCTTCCCAAAGGGATCAGCAAGCACAACCCACCATTCAGAGACCAGGGCACTTCAAGCCATAGAAACTGAGGGGAGCAACTGTGTTGTGACATATCAAAACTAGAAGACTTGAGCTGATAAGCCAGCTGCTTGAGAGAATATCACACAGCAAAGCTGCAGAATGCAGCGGTGACCAACACCAGGGCCAAAATGACTTTGCCATGTGTTTGGCTGTTTTTGTGAACTAGGCAATGGAAGTGTGGTCCCAGTGGACTCCACCTGGGAGGGAGGGAACCTTTGAACCAAGGCCAGCGGATTACAGAAGTAATAATCTCTTGGTACAGATAAGCAAAGGTTTGAGAGCAGAGACCTTGAATGTGCACGAACAGTGGACCAGATCCTCAGCTACACTAACATGGATTAGCTCCACCAAAGTGATAGAGCAACATCACTTCACACCAGCTGTGGGTACAGTCTCAGATGTTTCTGATAAGCTACTTACCCAAGACTGCTGGGACAATGGTATGGGAACCTGGAGAGGAAAAAACACACAGATATAAAGAGAACAACTGAGCTGCTTTTCCATACAACAGGAATCCCAGCCCTGCCGCTCCCTTCAGCAGCATTTAAGCAGTATCTGCACCTTGGTCACATGGGGTCTTTAATTGGAGAGGTCTAGAACATGGGCTTTGCAGAAATTCATCCCCACATTCTCCCAATGCGCAGAAAAGCCCTTGCAACTTTGAAAGGGAAAACAACCACTGACACACAGAGGAGAAAGTGCAGCGCTGTTCTGCATGGCTGGGCCAGGAAGCAGCTTGTGCCGCACACCTGCTACATCAGCTTCTCAGACAGTGGCAAGGGCTTGGGAGCAGGTCTCATGCACACAACTGAGGTACAAGTCTATCCTATTGCTGGGGAGACTGCCTGGTGGGGTACATTCAGGCATCTAACTCCCTCAGGTGGTTTTGAACTGTCCACCCTAACTGCAGTGAGCCTCACAAAGTGACTCGGGTGTCATGAAGAGTTTCTGGCATGAAGCTCTCCATGCAGTAAACCTGAAGCTACAACACGACACTGGTTGGTGGTCCCATTCACACAGCCCACAGCAAGCTGTATGAAGACAACACATTACATTGTAGCTCGCTTTGTGTGCTCCCAGACCTGGGGTTTGTCAACACATGGAAACTGCACTGGTTTATCTTGTATCAGAATTTAAACAGAGCTAGTCACCTGGGTGCAGAACTTGGTGAAGTTCAGAAATGTTTCTTGCAGTACAAGTGCAAGCTGAGAGTCAGAACAGCATCAGGTAAGGCGGGCCCACCCTGAGCACCAACATAACTAAATTCCTATAAAACACTCCTCTAATTAATCCAGTGCCTCTTTGCACGTGAACAACACATAAGCCTTGTCAGTGCCAGTGTCCTCAACCAGCTGGAATACGGGAAACTCAACAGCCTGTTTTGTGAGCTCTGTTTCCACCAGGCTCCAGATAGACAGGGATGCAGTTGCATATTCTCAAGAGGCAAAATTCATTTCAAACTCCCTGCACTTCTGCTTTACCATTAGGTGGAAGAATAACACAAGCAATTGAGGTGCAAATCCCAACCTGCTGCTCTTTCATTTATTTGGCCATGTCTAGGTGAGAAGGTTGCCCCACCTGACAGTGCTACCATCATGTACCATGTTGCTCTATGCAGGATGCCTCCTAAGACACCTAAGTGGTGTCAGCGACTGATATCTTTGGAATGAAAAAAGAAGCAAGTAGAACATGAATGCATCTGTACAATGAGGGAGAGGTTGATTCCAAGTTCCATATGCTGTAAAATTAATAGCTGCCTCTCCAACATGGTCAAAGCCAGGCTCACAGCTATAATTTACAGATATTCCTGGGGTGAAAACTGTCAAGGACTGGCCACTCTGTTTCCCCTTGGTGATGTGTGAAGAAGGGTGACACTGGAGTGCTAAAGGGAGGGAAGAAAGCATGTCAAATGAAAAAAAAAAAGTTGTTACAGGCTGACCTCCAAGAGGAAAAGGAGCTAGCATAATTATAGTTAAGTCCTGGCCTTGGAAAAGGCAGAGGTGCGCACACATATAAGGGATACAGTCATCCACCTACTGTGAAGAGTGTGACAAAGTAGGTGGTTGCCTATGGAAGTGTACACAGTTGTGAACCAGTTGGTCTACAAGGTGCCAACCAGCCCTGCCTTTCACCTATTCTGTCTTCCGCCCCACGCACCTTCCCCAAATATTACTTGTGTGAGGATTACATCACATGTAGACACGTCCCTTGCTGCCACCAGTCCGAGTGAACAATTTCTACCATGCCTGTCAAAAAGAATTCCAGGCATCTTGGATGATTTAATGTCTCAGCTGTGGTCTCCTACCTTGGGAGTAGATGCAATTATGTGGGCAAGGCTGGTCGGGATTCCTTCCTTAATGAATAAGACTTTGGTTTTGTTTCTGAGTGGGGGAGGGCCCCAACACACTGGATTCCCAGGCCAGGGTTTTATTTTTGCCTCCCAGCACAGCCCTGCCACACTGTGTTCAGAGCTGGATCCAAGTCAGCTGGCCAATGCAGCCTTAGTCGCAGCTACCTGGTTCACAGACGGGGACTTCAGGGGCCCATGTGCCATCATCTTGGCACTGAGCCTCCTGCGTGCTCTTCAGGATGCTTCCAGGATCACACTCAACCAGAAGAGTCTCTCCAGGGCTGTAGGCAGGTTTCAAGTCACTTATTTTTCCATGCCAAACTTCTGGGACTCTACAACCAGCTGATGAAACTGAAAGTACAATTAAGATTTTTCTGTCTCTTGTCTCCCCCAGGTGTTGGATCTTCCCCTTGCACCTATTTCTCATGAGACTGTAGTACCCAGGTCAGAGGACAAACTACTGGAACTTCAAGCTGCTGCTACAGGATAAGCACAACCATTTTCACTTCCAGACCCCTCTTACGTATACAGCTGCACCCATTTAACCTGATCCTTTTAGTTAAATTTATGTAGTCTTTTAGTCAAAAGATGCATCACAGGTAGGCATAGGCACATCTAAGGGAATGCTGCCTCCCTCATGTTCCATTGAAATCCCTCAGGTCAGCCAAGAGCAGCCTCCTGCAAATACCATCAGGGCACCAACTTTGTGTGGCAAAAAACACACATGGGAGGTTGTACTCAGTCCATCAGAGCCTGAGCTTGGATGTCTGCTGAAAGTGCTGTGAGACCTTTTTATTAGGGCATGCAGATGAAGCAGCAGGGCAGGTTAAGCTCTGGGGCACTGTCTCAGGAGTTTGTTCCTTTATCAAGTACTTTATTTTACTGATTCCATTAAACTATGAATATAAACTAGCATTATGATTAATTATCATGCAACAGGATTAGAAATACCCAGGTACATTCTGGAAGCCATTCAGCATTGAGATTGGGAGATATAATTGTAATTCCAATGCAGGTGGTAGAGATCCTCTAGCCACCAGGAATTTGGCCAATGTATCATGGCTGTTTAGTCTTCAGCTGGGAAAGCTGCTGAATCAGTGGCTTGCCCCACAGTTCTCCGGGGAAAATCCTACTGTGCGTCTGCCACAATGAAAGAGTCAAAAAGCAGTAACAAATAGAGCGAACATACCTTTACAGTGGGGGATGGGGTAGGTCCAAACTTCGGATGCTGTACAATGAATCTGTGCCCTTCCGATCAGTGTAGCCAGGGTCGCAGGAGTAAGTGACAGATGTTCCAATGGCAAAAACGTGAGCCTGCCCACTGTGCTTCCCATTGGTGATGGCTGGAGGATACGAGCACTGCTTCCCTGTGGACAGAGGAAGGGCTTTGTTGACAAGCATCAAACAGCACTGAGAGAGCACAAACACCAAAGCACATCGTCGCAGTGAAAGCCAGGTGGGCATAGAACCACACTTAAAGGTCTGTAACCAGTAAAGGGTTTCCTACCCATGTTCTCTGTTTTCTTTTCCTCTTACCTATGTTCGGGTCAGAGACAGTAGTTACATCTGAAAACAAATAATTCTTCCACATAAGCTCACAGTGGGTACCAAGAAGCAAACCACAGCATTATGCCATCTCAAGCACCAGTCACATTTAGACACCGCTAGCAAGCTGTAGCTAGTTCTGTGGTACACACACATTTTGTCTTTTTTGTCTTTTGTGACCATGTCTAATATTTTTTTTTTAATGGAAAGAGAGCAAATGCCCATTCTAATGGGGAAGGGAATATTTCTAACTTCACCTGCTCTGCAGTTACAGTTCCTCTGTCAGTGCCTCAAATGCATCATTTCCCCAGCATACCTTCTCCAGCATGACTCAGTCCCTACATCACATGAACCATGGAAAATTCTTCAAAGCTCTCACTAATATAAAGGTCCCTAA